AAAAAAAAAGCAGGTTCAGCGGTGGCCAACTTCGATTCTCCAGACCAAGGTCCGCAACCTGAAAACTAACATACTTAAGTAGGCTTATCGTAGGCTTCAGATCAATCCTTTTCTCCACAGGGGCCACAATTTTATAGAGGCTTGCCTCAAGGAACTTCGGATGCGTACACAGGGTGTTATAGGATTTATATAGGGTTACAGGATTAATAGGGTATTGGGTATAGGCCCACATGGGCAATTCAAGCCTTGTATACATGCAACATACAAGCCAATGGGAGCAAAGTCTTCAGGATGAATAATTGTGGGCGGATTCCACACATATGGGGATGTATACATCGATCTATTTATATATATATACATATAAGTTGGGCAGGTACAAAAATGAGAGAACCCAAACAAAACATATTAGGGCTTCTATACCTCTTCTCCCGCAGAAGAGATAATTTCTTGCTACATGGGATGCCATTGCTACATGTTGTTTGTGTGGGGGATGTGACAATGTGTTGCTTAATAAAGAATAGATCAGCATACAGGAGGCCCCGTTTGCTATATATAGTTTGCATGGGTTGGGCACGTTCACACATAGTTCCCAGCTTGACCTTTTTACTTGGGTGCTACACATCATAGGAATACACATGCACATATCCATACGGAGAATGCTGTACGATTTGGAAGGGAGAATAAGGAAGGGAAGGATGTTAGGGTGTTTATATAAGGACTCGATTTATTTATCATAGGGGCTGCAGTTCGCAGCAGTGGTGGACATTGGAATGGCATTGACCTGGGCAATGATAGCCCTGCTGGCAGCCCTAACATTTGTATGAACGACTCTGTCGGCTGGATGCCTGAGGAGTATGGACTCACTTTTATTCGCGACCTACATCATGGAGCTTATGAACAAGCTTTTGCAAAGCTTGACAAAGTATCCGAAGCTTCGACCATCAGAGTCGCATCAGCCCAAAGGGGCATTCTGGTATGCTGACAACAGAAGGCTGTGCAGCCCAGTCAATGGCATGTGGATGGCTTCCAAACCCGCTGTGAGATACATCTCCACTCACCCTAGCCCACCTCCCTCTTTCCCTAAAACACCCTAGAAGTTATATAAGGCAGGCTGGCTAAAGTACGGTCTCTTTATCATTTCCGGGTCTCTATATGTATATATATATATATTCATATATATGTATATGCTCTGAATATGGCTTTGTATATATATATATAAAGACAGACCATACGTGTCATAACAATCTTCTACCCTCCAGTGCACAGAATTTCTTATTGTTGATATAGAGGCCTCAACATATGCCCGTCTCGATTTGTAGGGATTGCCATTTGGGGTGTACATACCTGTATTGCCAAGGAGCTACACATAGAGGCTGTTCTAGGCAAATCCTATATACCCTAACCCTCCAATGTCACTCTCGAGTAATAGATTACAGAATCTTTTTCATAAATAATATATATACAACAGACGTAAAAGTAAGCACGTAAGAGCCCTGGGTAAGCGAACAAATACTATTCCAACGACTTCTCGGCCCTGTAGCGCGTCACTCATCCTATAACCCTACAAACCCTATAAACCTTACGCCTTACAAGTCTTATAAACCCCATAAACCCTAGAAGTACCATGCGTGCAAGAAGCGCGTGGAAAACGTGATCGCCAGTCAATCCCAGAGGGACCAAATAGAAGGTGTTTCCTCCACATTGAATTCCGTTCACGAAGCCAAGTAAAATCGAATCCACGCCAGCCTTCATGATGGCATCCAAGGTGGGGTTTCCTGCCTCATTGCCCTTTGACAGCTTGCCATAGTACTTATGGGGGATCTGAGAGATCATAAAGTAGCGATTTATGCCCGATGCACCGGTACTCAAGAGGGGAGTCCAGGAGAACTCAAAAAGCCCTTTCTTGCCAAACGATGTGCCTTCGTCACCATGCAAAAGAATTGGTATGCAATGCTCTAACCCAGTGGCATGCCTTTCGAACACTTCGTGTCCCGGCTCCAAAGACTTGTACTTGCCCCAGAAATCCCGGAATGCGGACTTCCAGTGCGCAACCTCCTCCAGCTTGTAGCCAGCGAGCAATTTCGGTGCATATGTCTTAGATTCTAGCAGGAACTCCGCAAAGTCGACAACATTCAGGAAGGGATGCCGCTTTAGCCCAACTCCAGCATATTTAACCTCCAGGGTCCAGAGGTAGCTGAGGTAAGTTCTTTATAGCATTGTGTGATAGAAGATATATATACACATACTCTCGGGTTGGTGTAAATTTTAGTTTGCTGGGGCTTCTCATTTGGGGTGTATATATATAAGTATAGAAGAGCTACTGAGATGTCCGATAAAAAGAGGAAAAGCACAAGCCTATACAGATGATGTACCAGCTTGCACTTACATAGGTCCTATTTGTATATATATATATAGAGTATATACAGAGATACAACACGTTATCTCATGAAACCACTCCTTGAGTATGTGGTACTAGCTCAGGGCCGAGTTCTCGCATGGTAGGACTTTTTTTATTAAAAGGCGATACAGGCGGGTATAGTATGTATATATATAACTAAATTAAATCTATATATATAGATATATTTAAGCAAGATGCTTATATACCTTACAAGTAACCTCTGACCCAACCAATGGGTATAGCCATCGCGAATGGAACGAAAACCATCTACACAGGATCGTTGCCCCGCAATATACAAGCGGCTCGCAGAAACTGTATTCCAAACCCATATAGCCTGTACAAACCCTCATAGACCCGACACCCTGAACCCGCAACACAGCTCTTGAAATAAAGTCTATATGTATATATAATCCAAGCCCGCAACCCCCCACAATACTTCCCCTGGAAAGGCTGCCCGAGAGATAACTTCGATGCT